ATAAGCTCTCAGTTCTGAGTCAGAATCTACAAATAAATTGGCAATTGTGCAAGAGATAAACTTTGTTGTTGTCACATCATGGAACTCTAAGGTCCTGGATGGCAGAGGCTATGTATTTCTTATTTTTCAACCAATACACTGAAAATACTGCATAGGAAACATGCAAGGTATTTGATCACTGTTCGTTGAATGAATGCAAAAAAGCAAAACAAAAAAAAAAACCTTGTTTTGAAAGCATTCACCATCTGGCTTCCAGACTGGAGTTGTGCATCATGGTTTCAATCTGGTTAAATATACACTGTTACATTTGATCTTCATAACAATTCTAGGAAATAGACAATATGATCATCCCCATTTTAATAAAGGAAAGCTCAAATTCTGATCAATTTTCCCCAGTTTGATCCCTGATTTGCAAGATTCCAAGGCTTATGCTCCTAATCACTGCCTGTGTGTGGGTGCATATGTGTGTGGTGCATTGAGGTTTCGGTTGTTCCTGAGTCACTCCTTTGTTTGGGTGTTTGGATGCCAGTCTGAAAAACTCAGGGGACAGATTTCCCAGCAGCTTTGTTTGGCTGGTAATAGGAGCTCTGCTCATTCTGCTCATGGCAGAGAATGCAAAAACACTTATGTTGTCTTAGACTGTCCAGGCTGCTCTAACAAAGTATCATCAACTCGGTGGCTCATCAACAACAGAAATTTATGTCTTATAGTCTGGAGGATGGAAGTCCCAGATCAGCTGCCAGCATGGTCAGATTCTCATGAGCTTGCAGACTGTTGACTTGTCATTGCATTGTCACACAAGGGAGAATGAGAGGAAGCACGCTCTCTCAGGACTTTTATAGGGGGCACTAATCCCATTCATGAGGGCTCCACCCTCGTGACCTCAGCTTATCCCAATTACCCTGCCTCCCAAAGGCCCACCTCCTATGCCATCACGTGGTGGATGGTAGGATTTTAACGTAGGGACTGGGGAGGATGGGGGATGGGGTGGGGACAAAAACATTACAACATTAAGTCCATAACAACTTATTTTTTCTCCCAAAAGCAAATCTGGATGCAAATACAGAGACCTGTATATATTCTATTTTGTTACAAATAAGAGGAAAGCTCCTGAGTGTTTCCCAGTCATCTCATTCTTCCATCACGGGCAGATGGGAGTAGGGAAAGGAAGCTGATGTGGAGGGAGTGCTTACTGTGTGCCAGGCTCTCCTCTGTGTGCTTTAAATACATTGCTCTCATGAGCAACACCCACTGATCTTAGAAGACTATGTTCCAGCATCACTTTCTCCAAGCACACTCATTGTCTTCCCCATCCCCTTGCATCACGGAATTGATCCCTATCTGCCCGTGCTCCTGCTGCCTTTACCTTGGCCTTGTTGGAGCCAGTGTTGCATGTCTTGGTATCCATTTCTGCCTTTCCTCTCATCCTGGCTGTCCAGAATGGAAGCCACTGGTCACTAATGCTACGGAGCACTTCAGAGTGTCTAGTTCAAATGGAGACGTGCTGCAAGCATAAAATTCGTGCCAGATTCTGAAGTCTTGGTATAAACAATAAACTGCAAAATATCTCATTAATAACCTTTATGTCAACTATATATTGACATGAGAACATTCTGTGTATATTGGGTTAAATAAAATATTAAAATTACATTTCCTTGTTTCTCTTTACCTTTTTAATGTGACTACAAGAAAATGTAACTTTGTATGTGGCTCACATACAAGGTGGGGCAAAAGTAGGTTTACAGTTGTGAGTATGCAGAATTCATTCTTGTACTATGATCTATTATTGGATTATTTTCTATATGAACAGCTAGAAACCCGCGTTTGCCCCACCCTATATATTTGTATCAGACAGCAGAGTTTTAGAGTATAAATTTCTCAAGGAAATGTCTATACCTTATTTTCCTTTTATTTCTAGAATCCAGAACAGGGTACTGCACCCAGTAAATGTTCATTACAAATTTGTGGGACAAACATGTGGTTTTATGCAACATAGGACGACCCCAGATTCTCTGGCCCCATGTGTAGGGAAGACCTGAATTTGGCAGGAAGACCCCAGTGAAGTGAGTCTTTGTGGCAAGATGGAGAGGCATTTCGGCCATCTCTTCTAAGTCAAGAGACCACTCACAGAGCAAAAGCAGAAAGTGAAGGGGCGATCTGGGCAAACGGGACAGCTGGAAGGAGGGTATGGTTAGTAAGACGGCAGTATGGTTTATGGAAAGCCTTAAAAGTGTCCCTGTTTAATTTCAGGATAAAGATTAGGTTCCCTGGAAGTGCTACAGTAGGAGCTGTGCACACTTGTTCTGTGCCTCCTCCCTCGCTGCTCCCATACGCATCAGTGGCTTCTTGTGGCTGTCTGCCTGCGGACACTGTCTGGCCACAGCAGTGTACCCTGTCCACCCGAGGGGAATGTCAGGAGTGTCAGGGAATCAACACACTCGGGGGAGTAGCCCTCAACCGAGGATGCATGGGTATGAGTGGAAAATACAACAGCTTCATCACCTTTCTTGGGAGCCTTGGCCATTTCTTCAGGTAAACAAGCTTAGAAGGGACTAAATCACTTATCGATAGTAGGTGGGGGGTTTAGAGAGTAACAAACATATTCCTCCTGTTTACATTCACCCCTCTCTCTTCTCTTTCTATTGGCAACTGATAAGGGCTGTTAAGAGATTATTGAACCATTTTCACCATCTGTGGTTGATGGGCAAAGCTCTTCTCTAATTAAGCAAATCCTAGAAAGAGTCAGCAGAGGGGGGATTTTTCTTTCCAGTGTTCGGCAGCCAGAACTGAAGTAAGCATTGTCCCACCGTTTTTAGTCTCTGCCCATGAACGTGCTAAGTGCGGTCAACGGTCAGGTCTGTAAGGCGCATCCCCCACCCCCCCTCCCACCCCCATACTGAGCCTTTTAAGCAGAGCAAACAGACCACTTCCTCACCTTTCAAGTGGGACAACTGTGGGCATGTCTGTGGTGGCAGCCTGCTCATCAGCGCACCCTGCATTGCCTCTTTCCTGTTTTATGTGCCTCTTCCAACATCCTCGTTTCTCAGGATCGCCTCCCAACACTGCTGATGTCCAAACCCTTGTATCAGTGTCTGACTCTGGAGGACCCAAACTAGGCACAGCACTTGATACCTAACTCCAGACCACCTGTAGCCTTCTCTCATACCTCTCTTTCCATTAAATGCTGTATTTACTCTTAGTAATTGCATCTACACCACAAACTTTTCCACTCCCCATTGTACAATATCTCTTTCTTCCTTCCCATGGCAATCCCAGATTATCAGGTTGGCATTCAGAGGTCTCCAACCCTGGCACTAACTTCCCATCATGCTTGTCTGCTCCACCACTCCACTCCTGCACGTGTGTATTCCAGCTACACTGCTCTACTCTTCGTCCCTCCCCTATGCCCTTCAAAAGTTCTCACCTCGGCTTCTACAAAAATGTTTCGCTGTGCCCTAAATGGCTTTTGAAAGGTTTGCTTCCATTACTACCCTACATGGTCACACTGCTGAAAAGAACTTTGTTTCCCACTGCTAGACCTCTTCCCCGTTCTCACAGTTGTAGGTGAAGATGTGGGTTTTAGTTCAGATTCCAGTTGTTGTTGCTGCCTGAGTTCAGATGTGGCTGTGCCCTGACACTGGCCATGTGAAGCCGTGCGATTTGCGTGGGGCACCTGAGCGTTAAATGCGGATGTGTGGAAAAATCCCTTGTGCGTGGCCTTGTAGGATTTTCACTGGCAACCAGAGTGACTAACTTTTCCACCTTGTAAACTCAGGTGTATCGATGGTGGCGTTTTATTGACATGGGAGTAGCTCTATTTTTTTCCCCCTGGCTTCCTGCTGAGAAATCAGGTAAACACGATAAAGCCTCCCTAATCATGAATTCCTCCTTCGTGAAATCTTAGCCCTTGGAGATTTACTTTTGTGTATTTCTTTGATAACCTTGAGGATATTAGATCGTGAAAATAAAAGTGGTTGACATGTGTTTTAAAATCAGTACTGCACTGAACACTTGCAGAGAGGGCCAGGAGAAAAAAAGTGCTTCTTGTTATGCATATTATTTGCTACTAAGCAAAACAAATTGACAGACATATCCTTGAAATTAGAGAAAACAAAATCCCTAAAGAGTTTCTAGTGACCAAGGGATGGCAATTTGAAATGCATCACATTTTAACTTTATTTAAGGCAAGAGAACACGATACGGCAGTTAAGAGCATGAATTCTGGCTTGGTTCAGAAATTCTGGCTCTTGTCACTTACTGGCTGTGTAATCTTAGGCAAGGGCAAAACTCCCTTATGCTTCAGGCTTGTCAGCTATAAAGTGGACTTGGTGATAAACCCTTCCTCTCAGGGCTGTTGGGAAAGGCCAGTGAATGCATATTGTACATATGTATATGACTCTTTTAACAGCATATAGTAGGTAGGTGCCTTATAAATGCCATTATAATTGTTGTTATTTTTTAAAAGATTTTATTTATTTATTTTTAAAGAGGGGGAAGAGAATGAGAAAGAAAGGGAAACATCAATGTGTGGTTGCCTCTCATGCACACCCAACTGGGGACCTGGCCAGTGACCCTGACTAGGAATCGAACCGGCAACCCTTTGGTTTGTAGGTTCAAACCAAAGGGTTTGAACTCAGTGTGAGCTCAATCCACTGAGCTCAGTGTGAGCTCAATCCACTGAGCCACACCAGCCAGGGCTATTGTTGTTGTTGTTATTATTATTATATGATGTTTTTGCTAATCCTTTTAGTTAATGGTTTTACTTCCTTGCTCAGGGAAACTTGAATGTCTTTTTAAAGGCTTGTTTCATCTCTACCCTATATTTTCTATGTAGTCCCTAGTTCCTCATCTGGAGAGTCTAATGTCACCAGTTTTTTGTTTTTCCTTTTTCAGTCACCCATTCCTTACATTTCTTCGGGGGTCGGGGGTGCTTCTTTCCCAACAACTATTTACGTGAAGTAACTCATGCCAGGCGAGGTTATGCTATGCTGAATACTTTATTTATATTTTTATGTAAACATAATTTGCTTTGTAGGCACAATATAACAAAAGCTCTAAAGCCACAAATACATTAGACAATGTTTCAGTTCACTCCAATCAAGCTTAGGTTACAGAGAAGCCTTCACAGTTCCTTTAAGGCAAACTGAGACATTCTTCACACTTCCTCCAGAGAGACCGTCCCAGGGCAGGAAAGAGGGCGCTCCAGAAGGGAGCACATTAAACAGTTAATTTTGATTCTTTTTGTCCCTTGTCCTTCGTGACACAAATTAATTGCATTAGTCAAGGTCTAGTTTTCTCTTCTCATTCTGTATTCCGAGGAGACGACAGGGTTTTCTTTAACCAACTGGCATTATTTGTGATTATTGTGTTACTCTTGCTAGGTGGAAAAACAGATTTGGGGTGGAATGACTTATGTTTCTCCTCACACAGGCCCGCTGGCTGGGTTCCGAACATGGAGTGCCCACGTACCTGGCCGAGGGGAACTCGGATGTGACCAGTGGCTCTTTGTTCCTCAGCCCTAGAAAATGCCGTTTCTGTCCAGCGCACCAGGAGTGTCCCTTGGGTAGCTGGAAGGAAATGGCAGAAGAGGTCTTCTTAAGACCCGTGGTCTGCTTGGGTATGGGAGGCACACGACCAGTAATACAGTATTTGGCAAAGGAGTCGGGATGGAACCTCGACATCCGCTCTCTAAATGTTCCAGAGCTGGACAGTTGGTGAGCCCTACAGCAGGCAGAGAAGAGGGGGTGGAGCTACTCTCCTCTCTCTGCACATCAGACGGCAGCGCCCTTTCTCATCTCCATATTTTCCTCGTACATTCACAACGACACTCCCTTCAGGCAAATATTTGGCATAAATAAGTCATCACGAGCTTAGGGTGGGAAAGAGAACATGACTGATGAGGTGACATTTGTTACAAAAGGACTTTGGAGATAAAACAGGTAACTGCTGAAACTCGATCATTCCCGTTACTTCTTGGAAGATTTGGGCCTCCCCTAAGGCTCAGCGGTGGAGAGATCGGGCAATGTGGGAACCCTCCAGTATCTTCCAGCGTGTAAAGTGAGTTGGGGCACCATTCGTGTGGGCTTCTTGTGTCTCCAGTGTGGTTTATGCGTGGTAGAGTCAGCCCTTTGGGACCAAAGGAGTGGGAGAAAGAAAGGAGGACCCCCTTGTGGAGCCTCTTTCTCTTCCTGCAGGTTAACGGCTCACCTCAGCCATGCCAAGTGCGGTGGGGCAATGGGTGAACTTCTTCACAGTTTAGGAGCTGGAAAATTGAACAACAGCGTATAATCAAGTTTGGTCCCCAGTTTCCCCAATACAGGGGTTCTGCAAAAAGTCTGCACCATAATTTTATATTTCAGAGGAGAGGGCCACGCATTTGGCATGTGATACTAAACGTAAACTTTTGTAGCACTAGAAATCTGGTACATGTTGAAACATGCTTTGGCAAGTACAAGTTTGCTCAGTGATCTTTTCCAAATGTTGTCCACCAGGGAGGCCTCCCCTGGGGGGGCCACAGTAAAGGTGGCGGCTCACTCCTAGAAAGTGAGCACAGTACATTTGGTAATGCTGATGGCAAGTGTGCAGATGCAGACGAGACTCAGTTGTGACTGCTGAAGTAGTCCCACACGCGGTCAGTTTTCTTAAAATTAAAGTTCAGTATGTACGGTGAGGGAGGAGAGGGTTTAGCTCATGAGATGTGGTTTCAGAGGTTTCTGTGACTGGTCCTCCAGCTCACGCTGTTGACCCATCTTTTATCCTGAAAAAATCACATCTGATTCCCTGCATTTATGGACAAGGACCAGTGAAGGGATGGAGCATCCTACCTTCTGACCTTGAAACAACGGAATGAGTGTGAGGAAGTTGCCTCTTACAGGGGGAGAAAGGACTATTTGGAGAGATCTTCAACTGATAGGCTCATGAAACGATCTGGCCTACCCCCTCTCTGCCCAGCCACACTGGCATGTGCTCTCACCAGAAGCATGGGTGGCTGGCAGCGAAAAGTGTCACTGGCCTGAAGAATTCTCGGATCTGGATAGTGCTCTGTGATCACACCTTTCCATCCAAACTTGTCTTTGCCCATGCCTGGTTTCCTAGGCATTGGGCCTGTGGGCTTGTATTAATTGGCAAGGCTATTCTAGAACTGTCAAGAAGGACCCAAAGATGGATGGTCTTGGGACAAGGGAGAGGGGAGAGGGTGATACACAGAAGGGGAGGGACATAATACTGCGTGGAACAAGATTGGCACTTAATTTCAAAAAACAACAGTGATCAAAAGCTTTTTAGCTCAGCCGACTGCAGACAAACACGACACACACTGGACTACAGGGTTTGTTCACTGGGGTGCAGAAGAGCTTCCTCAGCTGGCCCCTCTTCTTCCAAACTGCCCTTCATTCTTCTGGCTGGGGCCTGGGTTACTGGATAAAGGGCATCCGCTCCTTGTTCTCGCTGTCGCCCTCATGGTCCTCCTCCTCTTCTCCTGCCTCACTGGTCTCCGTGCTGTCGTTGGCCATCTGTAATGCAACAGCGGACCTGTGAGATGGCTCTGCAGCCTGACCCCCACCTCCTTCAAGCAACTGATGAAGTCACTCGACAGGACTCTTTTAAGGGCCAGAAGCTAAGGTTGCCTGCTCCCCCAGGAAGGCAGTGTGGTATAAGCTATCTTAGGTTGGGCACTGCAAGAAGCGTCTCTGAGCTAGGGACTTCAGGGCAAGTATTTGGAATTTGGGAGAGGAGTTCTTCAAGCCTAGTCTTCCATCCTGATGGGCTGTGGTCTCCACCCACCCCAGTGATGCTCCAAATACAGAACTGAGCCGGCCCACTCTCCATCACTGCTTTGCTTCCCCAAGTCCCAGGGGGAAAGCCCTCCTGAGATCCAGGAACAAACCCATGAGAGATGCCGAGGCAGGGTTTCAGTTCTCACCTTGCCAGGTGTGCTTCTCAGCTCCTGCTTTGATAAGAACTGCCCACACACTCCGGGTCAAAAAGGCCTTCCTACCTGCCCTAGTGCCCAGCAGGACCTCACGTGTAATGGAAACAGGTAGGATGCCAGTGCCAGCTATTTGGCTTGAAAGCAACAAGCATTCCGGGGTGTGTCTAGACCTGCCTGCCTTTTACTGCTGGGCCTGAAACAGGCTTGGTCGTTTGTTTAAAGAACACAACACAGGTGCACAGAAGATCCAGGATCCCAGCCACCTTCTCCTCCTTAACCTGGTCCCCCCATCTGCCCCAGAACATTTGTTGCCACAGCATTTAATGAAGTATATCCTTATTGCCATCAGTCACTTATACGTTGTAAAATGCCCTCTCATGTGACTGCCCTCCGTTGGGGGATATGGCCATCATACTTAAACTGCATTATGGTTATAAAAGCCCAGTAAACACTTCTGAAGATGCACACTTTGGATTAAACCATGCCAGACATTTTCGTCCTTTCTCTTTTGTAAAGGACTGATGCAGCTCCACATTTAAACATGTGAGAACAAACAAACCTTCCTAAGTATTTTCTTTGTCAAATCATTCCTGGAATGTAGTGTGTATAAGACAATGTTTTATGCATATAATTCTGAGAATTTATCAATCTCCAATTTACAGACGGGGACGAATGTTGGAGGGCAAGGTAATTGCCCAGGTCACACACAGGCGCTCAGAGCTGGACTTTGAGTCACGTGGTCAGATGGCAGCTTCTGTGCTGACCCCCACACCGCACAGCCCCCCTCAAGTGGCCACTGTGAGAGCGTCTGGGATGTGGGTTTGATGTGCTTCACTCCTGGTGAGATCCCTGGATACAGGGGTTTTATTCTGATAAAAGGAAGCAAAATCAATGGAGTCATTGAGTGGCATCTCAGAGGCAGTCGGCACCAATCTGTTCAGTACGTGAACATGAATTTATTAGATTTTTACCAAGAATTCTTCCCATTCGTGGCAGCCGATAGACAGCACTGGTTCCGGACATAGGTCGATGGTTTCTGTCCTTTCCTGACAGCCCCCACATTGCTCTTGAAACACTCTCGTGGGAGAATTTTCCTTTCCTCCCTAGCGTTTGTCTCAGTGTGTGACACCCTTCATTTGTGCAATTATTTGATTATACTTAGTTGCCTTTGCCAGCCCAGAAGCTGCCTGCACTTCCCTCTGCCCTGCCTGTGCCTGCACCTGATCAGACTCTCTCGCGTTGGATGGGACAGATCCCTCTGCTTTTGACTCACCAGTGGAGTCGGGGTCTTCTCCACGTCCAGAATTAACTTGCCAATGTTGCCTCGGTCATGGATCCGCTGCATGGCCTCCTTCACCTGAGTAACAGAAAAACGGAAGCACAAAGTAGGTGAGACTTCTGCCAGTGAAGAGGGCCTGAAACAAACCAAGCGACCGGATGCCCACCAGAGGGCACTGTGGTTCCAGTTTAGTGGCGAAACCTGAGATGGTTTTTGAACCAAGGGTTCAAATAAGTTGTGGTTGTGGTGCTCACACACTCTGATCTGTACAACTTGGTCTCTTGGGTCTGAAACATGAGGATGATAGCTCCTGAAATCAGTCAATTAAAATTTCTTTTTAAAAAGGGGTGGTGGGTGGGGGAGGAGGTACTGTGGAATTCCAAGATGTAAGTGCTGCCGAGTAGCAGGGCACATCAGCCAGTGTAAATTTTGACCAATAAAAATGCTTTTTCAGGATCATTGGTGCCATGCTTACCTAAATGTTTTATCACTCTGACTTACAGTTTGGCTAAAATGACTCATTCCCTGGGGTTAACTACATTAAAGAAAATTCCCCTGATTCTTGGTATTGGGTGAAAATTTTGTGTCTGACCAAGTAGACATCTCCAGAGAACTAGTATTCTCCGTAGAAAAAAGGACCTACTATTTCTTTTCAAACGTTGGGGGCCAACAAATGTCTCCTGGGACCCTTCATTAAAGCCAACTTTAGACCTAATCTGATTGTGCTTGGAGCATTTCATTCTGTTGCTGTATGGAAAATGAACTGTAGGGGGTGCTGTGAGGATTCAATGAGAGAGAAAAGGGAACCCAAGAGAGCCCAGTGCTTCATATGGATACCTCCCTCACAACTCTCAGTGATTTCTAAATGGAACTGCAACATCTCCTGATTTAAAAAAAAAATGTTTCAATAGATTTAGCCTAAATATTTTTTCTAAAGTCTCAGATTTTCAAATATTTTGTTCATTCAGCCCACAATACTCATTAAATGTTGCTTTGAGGCAAGATGCCCTGTTTAAAAAAAAAATGTAAAAACTAAGCTAGGGTATCTGCCTCTGAGGAGCTCAGTCTGGAGCTGATGGAGCAATATTTGCTTATGTAAAAACCAAAGCCATTTTCTCATTTGGATGAAAACTTGACAGAGCCATTAAAATGTGTGTATTCTAATTGCTTTTCCTAGGATTTTATCCTAAAGATATAATTCAAATTATGGGGGGGAGGGGACTTACCACACAAAAGATACTCAGTCACAGCATTGCTTTTAATGGCAAAACATTAAAGCAACTGATATGTCACAGAAAAGGGGAATGGTTAAGTAAACCGTGACTTATATTTATCTACTGAATGGAAACGCTACATAGCTATTAAAGGGCTAATTATAAAGAACATACAGAAGGATCCAATCCTTTATAATATGCTAAAGGAGAAGAATAAGATGCATATTTTTATTTGCATTCCCATAAAAACATGGACATCCTAACATAACTAGATATATAATAAAATATTACATAGGGGAGATGTATGTCTTTTACCTCTGGTATTCAAACATTGTTATTTGGCAACAAGTTATTAAATCTGTATTTAATATAAATTAAATACATCTATAAATGTAGTCTCTGGATAACGTAGCATTGGGTAGAATCAAGATCTTTGATGGACTGACAGTGTCATATGATTGTTAAATTTCTTGACCCTAATACATAATCCAGGAGATTTTGTCTATTTCTGTAGTAAAGGTTACTTTGTAGAGTTCTCTCCTATTTGGTCATATGACAGCTACTGTTTACTGAAAATCTTTAAAAATTGTGGCAGACAGCTTCTAATTGTCCTCACTTCCTGACACTCACCCCCACATGTGATCCCCTCCCTGTGACTGTGGGCTGCGCTGGTGACTTGCTTCTAACCGATAGACACAGCAGAATAAAAGACTTCTGTCTTGCAGTCTCTCTTTCTCTGACTCCTCTTGCCTTCTTGCTCTGATGACATGAGCTGCCCTATCTGAGCTGCCCTATCTCCACAGGCCCACAGGGCAGGGCCAATGGCCAAAGAGTGAGCTTGGGCCTTGAAATGAAACCTGAACCCTGGCTGACACCTGGATTGCAGCCTTTGGAGAGGTCCTGAGCCAAAAGACCCAGCTAAGCTATGGCCAGATTCCTTACCCACAGACACTGTGAGATGACAAATGTTGTTGTGAGCTGATAAGTTTTGGGCGTGATTCATTATGCAACAATAGATAACTAATACATTCCCACCTTGCATGTGTAACTCTTACCTTGCAAAGATATGTCATACCCATTTTATAGAAAAGTACCTCAATGCTCAAAGGGATAAGCAATTTGCTCAAAGATTCTATGGCTATCAGCCACAGAATTGTGGTTCAAACTCAGGTTTGTCAGATTTCAAAACCTATGTTTTTTTCCCAATTCCACCTAGACTATATAGCTGGATTTGATTCTCAAAGGCAGAGGGGAAAGTGGGAGGTAACATCTCACATAATGGTTTCCCCGAATTCAGTTGTTTATTACCCCACCAAGTCATTAAACACCTGGAAACTCCTTGAAGATAAGGAACAGTTTTTAAGCTGCTTTTCCAATAAGATAGAGCCCAAGGAAATGAAAAGGCATTTTCTTACCAGTTAATGCGTATTGTGATGCTAGGAAAAAGCCCCCATGCAGGGCTGGCTCTAATCTGCATAGTTTTAAATATTTCTTCCTGAAATGAACTGAGTCCTTGAAGTCCCTTGCGTGGGGGATGGAGAAAAGGTGAGGAGTCTTTCCAGCAGACAGTGAAGGCAGTCTGATCCCCAGACATGCTGTCTGAGTTCACATCCCCTTAGCTGCTCTTGGAGATGTGAGAGAGTCCTTTCAATGATAACTTAGAAAGAAGGAAACTACCATTTCCTGATCGGTTCTGTATCAGGCACAGTGTAAGGCATTTCAGCTTATGCTGCTTCAGTTTTTTATCTGTGCCCCAAGCCTTTGAGGCGAGTGTTGGCATTACAGTTTCACAGATGGGAAGCCCAGAGGTGGAACAATCTAAGGAGTCTGTTCCAGGCCGGCGTCGGCAAGGTGGTTAGAACCAGATGGGAACTGAATGAGCAGCTTCCCCTTTTCAGAACTCTGGACAAAACTCAGGACAATGCTCTGCGGTCTGCATCCCAACAAGGCCCTCAAATAACCCCGTATCAGGGTAAAGTCTGCAAAAGGAAAGTTTGCTCCCACGTTGGCCAGTTTATAAACTATGGTGCCTCAGCAGGTGACAGCACCCAGATGGTGGTGACAGCCTCCAGAAAGCCATTCCTCTCTCCTATACCTACAGAGAGAGCTTTCTAAGGCACACCTCTCTTTAAGAGCTGTTCCCACTGCACCCCAGAGAAAAGTCCGGCAGACCTGCGCTGGCACAGGGGGCCATGAGCACACAGTGTGATGGGCTGGGGGCTGGGGTGCGACGTACACACCCAATTTCACAGACTTAATAAAAAAGAACACAGAGATCTCACTAAGAATGGTTGACATTGATTTCATGTTGAAATGATATTTTAAATGGGTTAAGTAAAACATTTTACTAAAGTCAATTTCACCTACTTTTTACCTTTCTGAATGTGGCTCCTACAAAATTAAAAACTTTGCATGTGGCTCACACTAAAACTCTGCTGCAGAGCCCCAGACTCATTTCCAGGAGCTGACGTCTCTTGGACTTTCTGGCTTCATTGCTCCCCCTGCCCCTCTTCCCCTCTCACTGCTGCCCCTGGAAACACATCTGGACTTCACTGGGCCTCTCAGCTCCATGCCTCCGTACAGACTGGGTTTTCTCCCAAGGGTCCTGGTCCTGGGGCTAGCCCAGAGTTGTCCTGGGACTCTTGATTTGCATGTGAACTCTTCTAGGAAGCTGCTCTGTGCCCCTCAGCCCTGCCCATCAGTTTCAGCTACATCTCCTTTGGGCTCCCTTAGCACCTCGGGCCAGCCAGCAATGTTACCCTCCCCCTCCGGCTTGAAAGGTGCTCATCAGCTTTTCTCCTCTAGGTGGCAGGTCTCTAGACCAGCGTTGTGCTGCAGCTGTAACTAAATTTCTCTAATTATCACAGTAAGAGATGTAAAAAGAAACTGGTGAAATTAATGTTAATAATGTACTCCAAAGTATTACTATTTCAATATATACTCAATATATAGTAAAGTGTTAAGGAGGTATTTTACATTTCTTTTCTTTTTGTACTAGGCATTTGGAATCCAGGATGTATTCTACACTTATGTCTCAATTCAGACTGGCCACACTTCACGTGCCCCGTGGCTGCACAGGGCTCATGGCAACCATATGAGAGAGTGAAGCTCTGCGTGGCTGGGGAAATGGCACTAACCTTTGGGACCCCAGTGCAAAGAAGTATCTGGCATAGGATAGACTCTGAATGAATGAATGAATGAATGAGAGAGAGAGAGAGTAAATGGGTATGTGGAGAGAGATACCAAGTGGCTAAGCTGTACCCAGAGGTTTCTCTCCCGTCTGTCCCACATCCTAGAGCCCCTGGCCCAGGCAGCAGTGTCCTGGTGGCCCGCTCAGTGCTGCCCCGGGGCCCAGTGGAGTCTGTTCAGACTCAGGGTGTGGTTCCCACACCCAGTCTGTGACTCCACTGCCATCTGCATGGCTGGCCAGATCTGGTCTTAGTAGCTGGATTTCCCAGAACTAGGGATTCTGGGCATTCTCTGGCCATCTCTGCGGAGCTGGTTTCCCATCAGGACAGTGGGAGGAAATTTGAGTCATGTCATTCAAACACCTTACGATGCCAGGATCCTGAGTACAGAGGCCATCTGGGCCTTTTCTGACACTTCTTGTCCTGGGGAAGCCACCTTAGTACTATCCCAGGTGGGTGGTGGTGGGAGATCGCAGGTGAGTCCTAGGTTCTGCTTTGACTCGGTAATATCATTCCATCAAGTCACTTCATCTTTTTGTCCCTCAACTTTTCTATATGTTAAGTGATACTTGCTATTCTATTCATTCGTGCATTTACTCACTCACTCACTCACCAGTGCCAGAGCCCTATGGCAGGAGCTGTGTATAGAGTAATGGGTGAAATAGATATGCTTTCT